TGGGGGGGGGGAAGAGACAGAGAGGGAGAGAGATTCTGGCTAAAATCATTTCTCACAGGACCCAGCTGGATAAGGATCTTTGCAGTTTTTATAGTGATTTATATGCACCGACATATCAATGCTATCGGGAAAATCTTGTAAGGATATTGTTCCGTAGCATTCTTGAGTTAATTGTTGAGAAATAGATACACGGTTTCAGTCTGAGCTGTTATTATCAGATCTGATAACGCCTTTAGGTGCTGAAACTTAAATAATTGAAGGATTGGAGGTCTTTCAGTGGAACAATGAGAAATGATACCAAGAGAGATTTATTTTCATGGGAATAAAAACAGTTTAAACAGCAGCACAGTAGACACTGTGGCTTCGAATGTGATAAATAGGTTTAAACGAGATTTACCGTCGGTTATCTTGATTTTCTTCTCTTTTGGAGAGTTGAAAACTACAGCCCCAACCCCTTCCTTTATAACTGCCACGATAAACTGTCTGGAAGAGACGTCATAGCAATCTCGTGAATAGTTGATTATAGCAGAACTTACAGTGTGTCCTACATTTCTGTTGAATTGCAAGCTTATAATATTATGATAGTCGCAGTTGGCGTTGGGAGCAGTTTTGTGTTTATCATTGGTCGACTTTCCATCATCAAAGACGGATACTAGTCTACCTGGGCAGGTAGTCTTTCTCTTTTCGTTGAAAGAGTAGAATAAATGCCCTTTAACAGTGAGGCGAACTTAAAAGGCGCTTTCATTACCTTTTTGAGCTTCTATGAAGTTACACATCTGTTTCACCTCTTTCCTGCCCTCATTGTTGTCATGAACTATACTTCCCTCTCCCCCTCTTTCCGTCGTTCTGATCGTAGCTACAGTTTTCCTAGTTATCCAATTCTCAGTCTAGCAATGCTTATTTGTTTGTCAGCTTTCTAATACAATAGCCTTATGAGCATTGGTGATGCCATTACAAAACATATAGAACACCTATCAGTGAACACAAACTTGCTTTGTAAATAGTTTTTATTGTATAAGCCAAAGAAATATTTATTATGGTCATTATGTTGTTACTTTCTCATTGCTGTTTTGCTGTACATATCAAACTTGTTGTATTTCGTTTGTGGCTGTACTGTGTTGTTATCGTGTGCACTCAGTGCATTAGCAGGACATCGTTGCCAACATTAAACCCGCACTTGTACCACTTAAACCTCGCCTTTGTTACTTCTTCTGCTAGCCTTCCACAAAGACTATTATAACTTATAGCTGAAAGCAGGTGACCGGGGGAAGGGGCGGGGGGGGGGGGGGTGGGGGGTAAAGAAAGGCGAACAGACAAAAGGGGTGAAAGAAGCAAAGAGAGAGAGACGGAGAGAGAGAGACGGAGAGAGAGAGAGAGAGAGAGAGAGAGAGAGAGAGAGAGAGAGAGAGAGAGAGAGAGAGAGAGATTGAGAGAGAGAGAGAGAGAGAGAGAGAGAGAGAGAGAGCGAATTAAGAGGGAGAGAAGAAGAAGAAGAAGAAGAAGAAGAAGAAGAAGAAGAAGAAGAAGAAGAAGAAGAAGAAGAAGACAGAGCAGGAGGAGGAAGACAAGGAAATGATGATGATGATGACGATGGTGATGATGATGATGATGATGATAATGATGATGATAATGGTAAATATGATGATGACGATTATGATGATGATGATGATGATGATAATGATACAACTACTACATTTCATTTTGTCCATCATTTAAATGGCCCAATCGTGTTGCAAGTGCCGTAAAACACGAACAAGAATAAACAAAAAAGAAACATTTTTATTTACACTTTTTGTCTGTAAATCAGCCAAGACTATCCCAACCTATTCTGCTTTTTAAACAATGACGATGATCATGATCATGATGACGACCATTATGTTGATGACAAAGATAATAATGTTGGTAATGGGGATGGTCGTAAGCAGAGATACGAATTACGAAATAATGATATAATAACTTTGATGAATTAATAATACTAATAATAGTTGATTAGTAAAGATAAAAACAAAAAAAAAGTAATAAAAAATAGCGGCAGAAGCTGTCTTAGTAATGACAATAACACAATTACAGCAACATTAACAAGAACAGCAACAACAACAACAACAACAACAACAACAACTTCTACTACTACTACTACTACTACTACTACTACTACTACTACTACTACTACTACTAAGTAAAAATAGTAGTCTCGTAGTAGTAAAATTAGTAGAAAGTAGTAGTAGTAATGATACCAGTAACAACGACAACAACAACAATAGTAATAATAATAATACTAATAATAACATATTAAAACAATAATAATAATGATAACTTGTTCCAATGGAAGATTATGTTATGCCGCTACCAGACGTCCAAGTGACGACGTTCTGAAAACGCGGACGTCAACAAACATTCCAGAGTATAAGGTGTCGGTGTCTTTTCCAGGTGCGCATGACGTCACCTGACTCTGTAGTTTGTTAAGACAATCAGATAGAAGGAGGTGAAAAGGTGAACACTGGGGCCAGGAGGATGAAGATACATGTACATGTATACAGCTGGTCGCGTAGAGAAGACGGTGGTGACAGAGAGACCGAGAGAGGCAGAAAAGAGAGACCGAAAAGAAGGAGAAACAGATAGGCAAAGGTAAATGGTGAGAGAGTAAGTAATGGAAATAAAAATGTATAGATAAATAGAGAAGTAAACAGAAGGGAGATTGAGAGAGTATGAGTGAGGGAGAGAGAGAGTATGAATGAATGAGGGAGAGAGAGAGAAAGAGAAAATGAGAGAGGGAGAGGTAAGAGTATGAGTGAAGGAGAGAGTATGAGTGAGGGAGGGAGATAGAGAGAGAGAGAGAGAGAGAGAGAGAGAGCGAGAGAGAGAGTGTGTGTGAGGGAGAGAGAGAGAGAGGGAGAGAGAGGGTATGTGTGAGGAAGAGAGTGGGAAAGAGAGAGAAATAGAAAAAGTGAGAGAGAAAAAGAGAGAGACAAAGACACACATAGAGAGAGAGAGAGAGGGGGAGGGAGGGAGAGAGAGCGGGGGATAGGGAGTGAGGGAAAGGCATATAGACCTTAGTTTACTAAAGTTCAACTTCGACTCACTGGTCTTGTATAAAATTATGGAATCAAGTAGCAGCTTGGAAGAGTGAAAAGCAAACGTTAACCTCTGATCTGACAGTCCACAGGGTTACATCAAGACACGTGAACAAGGCTATATGTCTCCTGTTGTCGGATGTCACTAGTTCTGACAAATAAGCACACAATCACGTATCTCAGCTTTCTTAAACCAGTTCGTTGGATGGTGGCGCTCTCAAGAATCAGCTCCTTAGAGAAACAAGAGATCGTAGCACGACCTTGGTAGAAACCGAACCCGTCACTCTAGGGCAGAATAGTCGGATTGCAGCAGGGGGGAAAATGTCGACACAATTACGATTAGAGCATAGATAATCCTCTTGTTTCCCCATGAGCACTTGAAGAATCTCATATAATGGTTGGGTTTTATTTAAGAGAAAGGACATCGACACCACTGCAGTTAAGCTTGTAGGCAGGGTCTACGAAAAGAGCCAGACAAAACAAGACAACACACAAACAAAAGCCCACTAGCCAGAAGTACGTTTACGAGACCTCGTTTTGAAAAAAAGTAGCATCCAGAACGCAGGTCACGAATTCGTTTACCATGTCGTCAACGTTGAAATGGTTGGTTTCGGAGACACACCAATAAAAAAATATATGAAATGTGTTTGGGGCACATCTCTGAAGTTTTCTTTTTCCATTTTCTAATTCCGATCGTCGTTAGAACATCTATGAGAAATGGTGCATATTCGTTTAAAATAAACTGGGAATTTGAGAAAATGTGAAAGTTGAAAACAAGTCAAAATAAGTACCCATAAGAGACAAATTTAATCAAATTTGATTTTTTTTAAATCGAGATTTTTTTTCACTTTTTCATCAACAAAAACGGAATGGGGAGTAATGACAAGTCAACATAATATAAACACAAGATTTTGATCTGAGTGAGCTATTTTGGGTTGCAAGGATCAGCATTTTTTCTAAAATATTGATATAATAACTGTTCGTTAATCGAAAACAATAACCTTATTTTCCAAAGGTTGAAACTTAATAAGGCCTTCCTGTTTTTTTCTAAAGAAATATTTCGAAAGACGGTAGTCATATCCATTTTATTGAAACTTTTCTATTGTTTAAGTTTTGTGAGGCTTTGTCTCCCGTAAATAACTTCTTAATCGGCTTGGACTCCAGTTTATGGAATAGTTCATCTTAAACAGAACAGTCCACAATTCTATAATCAGTCAGCGTGAGAACGAACAAAAGTGGTAAATGTAATGCTATTGTTTCTGAAAACACCGATCTACCCGGAATTGGTTTCGGGCTTAAAACAAGTTAATTTCTGTTAATTTGGTTTATAAAATTCGTAAACGATACTCGCTTTTGATGTTCAGGTAATTTTTTAAACGATATTATTCGTATTTCATAACATAATAAGACAAGAAAAAAGGCAGTTGGAATTTAAGTTGCAAGTGAATTTTAGCTCTATGATGTAATTTTTAAAAAACTTGCTTCATTTTTAGAAGGTATAGTGTAATTTTTCCTCTGTTGATTCATAGTACGTAACCATTTACGTCTCATTCAGCAAACAAGGTGTTTCAGAACCAGTTATATCTTATTTTACTTTCAGCCATTTGCCGTTATACCTCGTCATTGTTGTAAACAATACTGACAATGATTTCTTTATATTATTGTATTTTTGGTGAAATAACCTGCAAAGGAGAAGAATATCAAGTTTGTCACTGAAATGTCGATCACCTTTACTTTTGCTGTAAAGTTGACGACCAAGAAAAGAATTGGGCTCCACGCGTATGCTGCCATCCCTGTGGACAAATCTTCGACACTGGATGTAAAGGAAAAGAAGCCCGATGCCCTTTTTACTTTGTAATGCCAATGGTCTGGGGTGAACTGAGCAATCACTCAGATGACTGTTTCTTCTGGATTGAGCGACTAGTTAGAAAAGGTTTAAAAGGGAAATTGGAAAGGTAAAGCTGGTGTCTTGAGATTCCATCTACCTCATGCCCAGTACCACACAATGCTTACTATACATTCATTTAGCGCCAGAGACAATTGTTTAATTATAAAAGAACAATTGAAAAGAAGACAGCACTGAAGAACATACTGTTGCTTCAACATCTAATGACCTCACTCAGAGTTTCCATCAAAAATAGCCCATATTTACAATCACGGACATTTAACTAATAAAAATAGTGACTAAGAGCTGTCCAAACGCAGAATTGAATTCATTGTAAGGCAGAAGGCTCTGGCAACGGTATTTGCTATCTGACGATGAGAGAGTTAGTCTATTTTTTTTTAAACGTGGCAAGGATTTTCAACTATTTGCGTAAATGAAGGTTCCACAATATAATGATGTGGATATGTGGCGCTCTTATGAATGTTGTGCTGTAAGCAAAGAACCTGGGGAGCGCTTGGACCAAGATATAAGACCCATGGGAAAACGACAACTGGGCAAAGGGAGTACTATGGCAACTGATTGTTCTTCGTACACTTAATCTGGATTCACATTTTAAAGAGCATCTTGCTCAGCAAAACTGAGCATACTTCTAAACCCATTTTATGCAGTGTGTTCTCCTTTAAAAAACAAAAACAGCAGCAACAGCAGCAACAACGACGACAACAACAACAACAACAAATACTATTTATTTTAAAAATCCTTTTTCCCGTTCGGCTTTGCCCTCGACATACATTCGGAAGTTGTAAGCTAACGTATGGGACAGGTACGTTTTTTATGTCCTTCCAGGATTGTCTTTCCACAGAAACATTGTCCTGCCCGGAGACCAAGTGCTTTCTATATACATGAAATTCAACACCCAAAGTACACATGTACTGACAAATAACACAATCCAAACTGCTTTCGTTGCTCTGAACAATTCTCCCTACACCAATTACGAAATACACACACACAGTCACACGCACATGTAGACAGACAGACAGACAGACAGACAGACAGACACTCACACGCACGCACACACACACACACACACACACACACACACAGAGGGAGAGAGCGAAAGAGACAGAGAGAGAGAGAGAGAGAGAGAGAGAGAGAGAGAGAGAGAGAGAGAGAGAGAGAGAGGAGAAGATAGATAGATAGATAGATATACAGACAGACTGACGGGCTGAGACACACAGAGAGACAGACAGATCCTTGATTTCTGAAAGGCGGCACGAATTTCCCGTTAAAGACATACACACAAACACACACACACACATACACACACACACACACACACACACACACACACACACACACATACACACACGCACACGCACACACACATACAGAGCGAGAGAGATTGAGAGAGAGCGAGAGAGAGAGAGAGAGAGAGAGAGAGAGAGCGAGAGGAGAAGATAGATAGATAGATAGATATACAGACAGACTGACGGGCTGAGACACACAGAGAGACAGACAGATCCTTGATTTCTGAAAGGCGGCACGAATTTCCCGTTAAAGTGCACTGTACCGCCCACGTACTATATAATCAGTGCATTCTAGTACAAGTTTTTTTTCGCCGTGTTGGGAAGTTTCATCAGACGAGCTACGGAACATTCTACTCTTGCCACCACACCATTATGGGGTCATGTTATTCCCTCAGTTATGTGAGCTCTTATTCTTGTACAACCATAGGATTAAGCAGGTCTGCCATGCCGTGTAAGGTCAGCATTAAATAGGAACTGTTACCTCAAATCTGGGATTGCTATGAAGCCAATGCTCTAGAAATAGTTCTCCCTTCCCAATGTTCTTGTCTACCGAAAAGGGTTCTTGTTACTTCCCTGGCCTTTAATTGCAAGTGCCGGTTATAAAATATTTGATTTAAAGCATATGGAAGAAGAAGAAGAAGAAGTAGCTATTGATTTACTTATCATCCATATTTGTATAAGGCTCCAGTCATAATGAAGAAAAAAAAACAGGCTCACCCTATAGACATTTAGATAAGATATTTACGAGAAAAAGTGAATGTGTCTTACGTAATTTCTTAAAATACACGCTGTTCAAAATTCAGAACTCTTCATAGTTCAAGTCTTATCGCAACTGGTTCATAACTCGAAGGATAATAATATTTTTAGTATTGTTTTCTTTTTTTTAACCTGTATAACAAAAAAAAAGAAAGCCAAACCCAATCAAACCAAATGCCCCCTCTGAGAAACAAAAATACCCCCAGCAACACTAAGAAGTGACGAATCGTACACGGAATCGTGGCTCCCCATTCATGTTCCGAGGCATTCCACACTCATTGTGAATGAAACTTACCTAGAACCTGTAGAGTCAATCCACAGGTAACGTTTCATCAACATTGCCGTGCAAAGACATTTTTCACGAGCTTAGGCTAAGAGGTAATGTACTTTCCTTGTTCTGTTTCCACTAAAAGCTTGCTGCGGCCGTCATCTTCGGTGACACTAAACCTTGACGGTCTTTGACACGGGCCCACAGATTCCACTTCACGTTTCCCATAAAGAAAAAGTATTGCTTTCCAACATCTCATGACAAAATTATTAGCCAAAACTTCAGAATAACCCTTCAACCTTTAAAACAATGTTGTGCAAACTCATTTTAATATGCTGGATGTTTTGTTTATACTATCGGTGACATAGTTTCATTCTTTGTCTTTGCTTTTGTGGGGGGAGGGGAGGGGGAGGGGAACATTTCGATAGAACAGTGCGTGTTTAGGCTCATTGTTAACTGAGGTAGGAAAACTGTGGACATCAGTACTTACTTTACTTTTTTCTTCCGCTTGTACCCTGGGGTGTCGCGGGGAGACACAGGTGTCTGTGTGCAGCAAGTCGTGTGGCCTGTAGGAGGGACATCACGTGAGCTCTAAGGGTGTCTGCCACAGATTCACTCCCACGGTGTCCCTTATGACTTCATTTTTAATTTTGTCTCTTCTTGTTTTGTTGACCGCTCTTCTTAAGCATTTCATCTCGCATGTGACCAGTTTCCTCTCTAGGGCTTTTGTTAGAGTCCATGTCTGGCACTGATATGTGAGCGTTGGAAGGAAAATGGCGTTGATGAGCTTCGCCTTGGTGCTCATGGGGATATTGGGATGTTTCAGGAGAGGGCCCAGTTGGTAGCTGACTGCGTTGGCTCTCTGGCATCTAGTCTCTATCTCTCGATCTAATTTTCCATTTTCTGTGAAAATGCTGCCCAAGTATTTGAATTCTCTTCTTTGTTTTAGTTGGGATCCATTGATGTTGATATCCACTTTGCCTGGTCTCCTGCTAATTGTCATGACTTCGGTCTTGCTTATTCTGATCTTCATGTAATATTTTTCGCAGCTCGCATTTAGTTGGTTTATATGCTCCTGTAGCTGAGTCTTGTTGTTAATCATTGCCAGGTCGTCTGCAAACATGAGTTCGTTGAGTGCCTCTGGGTCTGGGTTGGCCTCTTTTGTTATCTGGTCCATGTAGATCACGAAGAGCAGAGGGGAGAGATTGCATCCCTGTCTCACTCCGGATGTTACTGGAAACCAGTCCGATGTTCCAGTGGTAGTTCGGACAGCGCTTCTGCTGTTGGCATAGATAGCCCTGATGTTGTCTAGCAGTTGTCCCTTGATGTCGTACTGCTCTAAGATCTTCCATAGCTTGTTTCTATTTACTCGATCAAAGGCTTTTTCTTGATCCACAAATACGAGGTGGAGATCTTTGTCGTATTCCAAAGCCCTCTCACACAGTTGTCGGAGTGCAAAGATTGCATCAGTGCACCCTCTTCCTTTTCTAAAACCAAATTGGGCGTCACTGAGAAGATATTCGGTTTTTGCACGAGTACGTCGCTCTAGGATTTTTGCATACATTTTCCCCGCATGGCTGAGAAGAGATATGCCTCTATAGGTGTTGCAGTCTTTCTTGCTGCCCTTTTTCTTCCATATTGGCACCACTATCGCATTTTGCCAGTCTGCTGGCACTTTTCTTTCTTTCCATGCTTTCTGGAAAATGATTGTAAGCCAATGTATCCCGGTTCCGCCGCATGCAAGGATGGCTTCGGTTGTGACGTCATCGTCTCCAGCTGCCTTGTTCTTTGGACTAGTCTTCAGTGCTTCTCTCACTTCACTCTCCAGGATGGTAGGTTCTGAGTGCTCATGGTAGTTGGCGGTAAAGGAGCTCTGTGTGATTTGTGCCTGGACTCCTGATGGGTTTAGTAGTTCTTGAAAATATTCTTCCCATCTTTTTATTATTTCTTTCTCTTCGTGCAGAGCTTCTCCATTGGTATTGTTGATGACAGTGGTGGGTACATAGGGTTCGTCTCTCACTCCCATTGTCTTTACCTTCTTGTAGAACTCTCTTGGTGAGGTCTTGCAGGTTTCACTTAGTTTTTCGCCATACTGTGTCCATGACTTTTCTTTTGATGTTATAACGACTTTCTTACTGTGTCTTCTTGCAAGTCTATATTTAATGTAGTCCTCTTCGTTTTTTGACTTGACCCATACATTATACAGTCTCTTTTTTTCCTTGATAGCATCTTTAACTTCTTTGTTCCACCAGGCTGTTGCTTTTCTGTGTTTTCCTCTTGTTTTCTTGGTACCACAGACTTCTTTCATTGTGTCCAGGAGAGTTGTTTTGAAGGTATCCCAAGCTTTTTCTACGGTTAGTATTGTAGAGTTGATAGAGCCTAGTTTTTCATTTAACGTGCTTCTGATCAGAGCCTGCACCTGATCATCTCCAAGTTTATGTATATTTAGTCTCTCTTGCTGTCTTTTATGTTTTTTGGGTTTTCTTTCTTTCTTGGTGGTCAACGTTGTGATGATTGGCCTGTGGTCCGTGTCCAGGCATGCATTGGGGATGGCTCTTGAGTCTGTGATTGTGATCCGCATTCGTGTTCTCGTTAATATGAAGACGATCTGTGATGAGACCATGATGTTGTTCCATCTGTACCAGGTGTAGATCTGAGAGGCTCTGTGCTGGAAGAAGGTGTTGGTGATGAATAGGTCGTGCTCTGCACACAGTTTCAGTTCATGGTTGCCGTTATAATTGCATGGTGTTCTGTGGTCACTGTGTTGACCCAGGTGTTTTGTCCACGGTGTTCTTCTCTCTCCGACTCTTCCGTTGAAGTCTCCCATTACATAAAGGTCTTCCTCGTCTGGGATGTTGCTAATTAAGTCCGAGAGTTGTTCGAAGAAAGAGTCCTTTCTTTTCCTCGTCTGAGTAGGAGTCGTTGCCCGGTGCATACACCTGAATGTAGTTTGTAGTCGTTTTGCCCTCTCTAATGCTGATTTTGATGAGTCTTTCAGAAATGAAGTCTGTATTCAATATTTCCTTTGCTTTGTCAGGGTGTATGATCATGATGGAGATTTTGTTCTGGTTCATGAACTCCACTATCTCAGGTTCTTTATTTGTCAAGCTGCAAATGTTCCAGGTCCCTATTTTTTCATTTTTTCTTGATCGTTGTCCATTTTTCTCGCCAGGTCGTTTTCCGTTTTGATCAGTCCGTTTGTGTCTCCTTATGTTTTCTTGAGCAATATTAAAATCCACTGCCGGCCTGCTAAGCCAGTCGCAGTTTCACCAGAGCCCCGTTGGCCAGCAACGTTTCGGGGTGACCCGGGTCGGCTTTCACGGCTAGCGTAACGCCTCAGTGACATAAAGTCACACCGTACTTCACCCAGACCCAGCTATCCCCTACTTTGTCCTGTTTCCATCTCCCACGGCGTGGACGAGGGGTTGGACTTCGAGAGACATCAGTACGTGCAACATTCGTTCGAATTTTTAAGGTATAGTTGAAACATAGGCAGCACATTGGAAAATCTTAACGCCCCCTCCCCACGCAATAGATTCTGTCCAGTTAAATATGGAATAACACGGGGGCGGGGGATGGGTAGGGGGGGGGGAGATGCATGATTTGCATTATTGTGCAGAAAGTGATGTCCTTACTTTACTAGATCTATACCGAGTACAGGTGAGATAATGACGCACTATCTTTGAACAGTCCTAGAACTCTTGATGCGTAATTCGTTGTATTGCTGTGTGTGACAAAATCTCTTTCATAGCAACGTTCAGGGAAGCCTGTAACCATTAGTTGAGTTCCGTATATTCTTGAAAAAAAAAACCCAACTTCACAAAGGATCAATATGTCTTTTTTCCACAGATTCATTCAGTTCTAAATCAACCACAGGCCAATTTTAAGTCATGACTGTTTAACCGAAAGCAACCAGTAGAGCTGGCGTAATACTGTCAACGTTAAAATGCCGCTTCAAGGGAAAATTAAGAATTATATAATACTTTGTAGTAGGGTTTACCTTACAGGAACCAGAGAAGAGAGGAAGTTATTTACTGCCCGCACCCGATGAAGGACAATGAACGTGGCGTTTAGTTATAGTTTTATGGAACTTGAAACCCAAAGATCATACAAGTCTCGACGATAGGAGGTGTTACTAGAGAATAACACACAAAGAAAAGGAGGAAGAATAAGAACTAGATCTATAGAGTTTTTTATAGGACAAAAAAGAGAAACCACACTAGAACGCCCGCCGATTATCCAGTGACTTGATGCAAAGTATCAGTAAGACATAGTGAAGAGAAAGTGAGTTATAATTCTTAAAGTGTTTTCGACAAAAAGCAGAGTGTCGGGCATGAGTATTGCGAAATACCATAACACCATTTAGAGAGTTCATTGCACGAATAAGTCAGAAACGGGATTCAAAAAGGAATCTAGCGCAAGGCAGCCACCTCAACGATCCTTGAATACCGTGAAAACAAATTAAACGCATAAAGCATTCAGTAAAGTCGAAGAATTTAGAACAGCCTAATTTTTCTACTGCCTTTTCATTGTGTTTATTTGATCCAAAACAGTTCTTTATTACTGAAAAAGTACGGAATACACTTCTGTCTACATTTAGTACGCGTTTAAATTGTCGTAGATCTCTTTTAACAGGGGAACATGAAGGAATCTAGGGAGCTAAGGGCCAGGTACAAAGAGGAACAAGGGTCTAGACACGTAATGATCCGCCTGACAGATGGAACATCATCATGTGATGTCGAGTACGGCAAACGTGAAAACCGACATGGGTCCTGCTGAGACTTAAAACGCAGCTATCATCACGGCGTAGAAATTAGAGCACGGGAGCCTTCAACGCCAACACCAGCTCTGAAGAGACAGACACGAAAATGATAGAGGGAAATCTCCAATAAACCTTTCACTAATTCCACTTGGCAACCCCCACCTCCTTTCTCCTATGTCTCCCCCTCTTTTATCCTTTACCGACCATTCCTGTTTTTCAGCCTTATTATTTTAGCTTTATTTTCCGACTTTTCTTTTTAACTACTGTTCCCACACCTAAGGTGTTTTTACTTAAGCTTTGAATTTTGACCCTTCGTCTTTTAAAAAAAATTCAAAGCTGTCTATTTTAAATTGCTTTAGGCAGTATATGTTATGGTTAATGCTAAAATGGCAATAGCCGTGTACACTTCTGATGTTGATGGCCCCTGCTGAGGTCTCTTAACGATTGACTGATGTTAATTTTTTTTCCCTTTGTACATCCCCATCGAAATAAAATAGATTATCTAGGGGGCGAGCTTCCAACTCTGCCTACCAGGGCCAATCTGATCTGCGAGGAATACACCATCACAACAGACTGAGATGCTCCATTAAAAAAATAATTATCCCCACCCGGGAATCAAACTCGAGTTTTCTGCGTGCGACAGCGAAGCGCCTCACTGATTCATCACAGACTTCAGCTCAGTTGCTGTATACCAGTGAATAGATTACAAATAATTAGTGCATAGGTCTACGCTACACAGACATACAGCAACTGGAACAACATACGTTGACGCCCACGGCCTTCCTCCGAGAGTTTTGACAGTTTTCACCGACATAAACATAAACACTTTTTCTAAAACGTGAAACCGCAGGGGGTAGACCTATAATTACGCCGAGTCTTCATCCGTGTTTGAAACGGCCAGAACTAGCCTCTGCCTTTATGATGAACTAACGTAGTAATTGTGTCACGACACGAGGGAATCAGGCACTCGTCAAGTTTTGGTCATATTGAGTTACTAGTATCATCTCATAGTCTGTTCCTTTGTCTAGCTTTTGATAAAAAGTACACCAATCTATCTTGAATTGAGGTCGAGATATGTGGGGTTGTTTGCAGGGTGTCAGAAGTAAAATTGGCGAGAAATGGCCGCCAAATTTTGTGTCTTCTATAGTTTGATGTTCTTGCAAACTGAAAATTTACTTCTTTGTGCCTTTGATCAACATTTTCTGTAAAAAGCAAAAAAAACGGTGTTCTTAAATAAAGATAAGAGATGTTGAGTCAAGCAAAAATTATGCAAATTGCCCAAAGGGTGGAAACATGTTCATTTCTTCGATTATATTATTTCAACGAGCACTTGATTTTACAACGATGCCAGACAGTTGTATATAATCTGATCCACGTTACTAGACTCCTGGGCAGACTGCCATACCATACTATAATCGAATAATTGGTCAGTATTCCCGCCACCCAAATTGCTTGCGCGACAAAATCGTGATTTCTTTCTTAGCAAGTCGATCGTGGTTTACGTAGATATTAGCGGATAACATTTCAGTTAAAAGCGTGATTCTAAACGTGAAGAACTCTTAGTCATACCTGCAGAGGAGCAATCGGGGTGGGGGGTGGGGGGGGGGGGAAGGGGCGCCACTCCTACGCCCCAATCTGCCTTCATGCAGAGAAATGGTTGTTGTTTTGGCTGACGTTTTCTTTTTTCGTTATCGGGTACTCGTTATATAGTTTCTTAGTCATCATCATCATCATCATCATCATCATCATCATCATCATCATCATCATCATCATCATCATCGTCATCATCATCATCACCATCAAAAAATGTAGCAACAGCAAAAGCAGTAGCAGCACAAGTTATCACCATAACTGCCATTATCTCGACTTTGTACCGCTCCTATCCCCTTCCTCCCGCCCTTCTTTTCACAAGAAATGTTACAATTTGTTACCGCCTCCTATCCGCTGCACCACACACTATGGGATCTCTGAATCAAACAGCTGTCTAGAATCCTATTTCGATTTTATTCTGAAAGAAACATTTCGGTTCGATTCCGGAGTACGAAAGTATCTCTATCTGTCCATTGGCATTCTGTAAACCACCCAACCAGGGTTGACCGGACAGACAGAGCCAAAAAGCCCGAAGCCCATCTGGAAAATGATATACAATGTATCTATGACGGTATAACACCTGTTCTATCATAATTCACAAGTCATATTTCCCATGATCATTTCATTCAGAGTTGTGGTTTGATAATAAGTACCATGAAAACCGAACCAAAAAGAATGGCAACTTCCTGGCATGTTCAAACAGTTCTGAATTTTGTCAGTTTGCGAGAATACTTTCTGGCACGTCGTTTCATGAACAGTTTGTGAAAGAAAAAAGGTTTTCGTATGAATGGTGTTGGACTCATCCTCTAATAACATCAACAGTGTCAATGCGTATGGCAGCCATCGCGATAGGAACAACAGATCTACTGGTTTCCCCCTTGAAGTACGTTTATATAACTCTGTTAACCGAGATGCTCTTGTGAATCCTATTTAACACAAAAGCCTGAGCAAGTTATAAGATAATTGAAAGAAAAGGTTCAACTTAAATGTCAGTTATTTAGATGTAATTTTACTACCAAGATCGGGTATTAACAATGTTTGTAGCCGCCTGGTCGTGTTTTAGGAAATGGATACTTAACCGCACCAATATGTTAATATAATATCTAACAGACAAGCCTTGCGTCCATGATGTAATGGCTACTACTAGGCTTTCTTATATCTAAGACTGCCTAGTGTTACCACTGATAGATAGATAGATAGATAGATAGATAGATAGATAGATAGATAGATAGATAGATAATGAAAGTGTGAGAGAGAACGAGAAAGAGAGAGAGATAAAGAAAAAGAGAGAGGGAAAGAAAAAAAGAGAGAGAGAAAGAGTGAGAGAGAGAAAGAGAGAGAGAGAGAGAGAGAGAAAGAGAGAGAGAGAGAGAGAGAGAGAGAGAGAGAGAGAGAGAGAGAGAGAGAGAGAGAGAGAGAGGGAGAGAGAGAGATTTGTAGTATGGAAACTGGACACAACGAGTTATCAGGTGTCC